ACCTGGATCTTCGTATGTGTCGTCAGCTTCTTATTGAGCCATACTCTCTTTGTGAGTCTAGAGAACATGGTGGCTGCTTTGCCAATGCGTTTATCCAGCTCGACATCTAGAGAGAGGGTGTCAGAGATGGTTGAGCCGAGGTACACAAAGTCATGAACAACCTCCAATTCTTGTGTGGAGATGGTAATAGAGGGAGGTGAGTCCACGCCCTGGCCCATGACTTGTGTTTTCTTCAGGCTAATTGAAGGCCACTAAGAGCGGCTGTTGTTGTTCCCTACATTTCTGCAGCTGTCGGAGTGAGAATACCATGTCAGTGGTGGATCTATTAGCTATTTCAGGAAGCTGAAATATGAGGGTCAAATTGCCCATGATATTTTGTCCATTTATAATAATGTAGATACTTTGAGTGAAATTATGATAACATGTGAAATGGTAATAATGACAGTGATGTTACATTTACCATGAGTGATATTAAGCAAGAGCCATTTTACTCTATGGATGATGTGCAATCAGAAAGAGTTCTACTCCACTGGTGTTACATATCTAAAGATACCATCTGTCCTTATCCAACCTTAAGATAACCTGCTCAGATCCTGTTCGGAGTTTAGGATCTACACTCTCCTGGCACAGTTCCTGTCTCAACTCCCTTTTCATTACTTCACTTCTCCCCTCTTGATATTTAAAAAAACCATTCTGTTCAGATGGATCTTTAGTATGGCTTGCTTTTACCCTTGCATACCTGCAGTTGGCTGTTGCTACTGGTGGTTTAAGTTCATGGGGGATTTTGTGTTGCTGCAGCATAGGATGTTCTGTTTCGTGTTTTAAACTGAGGGTTTTACTCTGTGGGCTTTTTGTGAAAAAGCAGCATATGTATGTTTTAGAAATATGTTGAATGTGAGTTTTCTTGTTCAAATTGTATGTTCTTTAGGTTTCATTTCAGTGGAAAGCTCGCCATGCTGCTTTTTGTCCATGTTAATGAAACAATTTGTTAGTGTTTGGTAGACAGAGACTATGTGTAGGCTGAAGTCTCTTGTTCCTCAGACATCTTTGTCTTGAATGCTAAATGGGTGCCGCCAAATTGTATGATGTCAGAGTAAGTCAGCTTTGTTCTTACCGCCTCAAGATTCAATAGGTCTCAAATTAAACTTGGTCACACAGAAACATCTGGAAATGTATGTTGTGGCATAAGCTCCTTTTAGTCGTTTTTATCAATAATGTAAACAAGGATTGTTTACTCAGTAATATAAATGAAAAATGTATAGTAGGATAAGAATATATTGTGACTAAAATTAGATATCCATAAATATTCCATTTAGACTTCTACTTGCAAATGTTTCTGATATAACAGTGATTAAAAAAAATATATTTCTGAGTGAGCCTGTCACATGCTGGGGGAAAAATATCCCATAGTTAACTTTGATCCTTTCTTTCAATGTGAAATTGTATGATCTGTGCTGAATGCTAGTATGTTTTTAATGTGCAAGCTTACCAGAGCATCAGTGCAGTTTCATCTTATTATTTAACTTTCTCTACGTATTCGGAAATTATAATTTCTATCCACAAACTATAAGAACTGAAAGGGGGGAAACTAGCGTTTTCTCTAGTTTTATTTATAGATATCCTTCACAATAATTGTTTCTCTTAAAAGGATAGAGAAAGGGAGGATGCTGTGGAATGTACAATATGGTGCTCTGGTAATGTTTAAAATGGTGCCTGTGCTAATCTAATACAAACCCACCACAGATCCCAGGGGAGTTTGCCTGGGTATTCCAAAGCAAGCTTTAATAAGATCCAGAAAGTGTTTATTTAATAAAAGCCAGATTGTAATTTATTCTTGAAAAATTAATTTGCTTTTATAATGTTTGCAGTTTGAACGGGTTGCTTTCACCTTTATGGTGATAGAATTCTTGTTTTGCTTGGATTTGCTTTATTTAACTTTTGAATTATTTCACTTATTTCAAAATTTAGTGAGTCAATGAGTTTTGAATTCTCAGGGCAGATCATTTCAATTATTCTTTAGGTTCTGTATTGCTTCTATAAAGGTAGGGTGTTGCTGTGCAAGAAATCCTAGTTGTTGATAGACTGAAGATCTCTTTGTCTTCATTAAATTTTTTTTTGAAGAGAAGTGTGGAAGTTAATTATAATTAGCTCTGAGGCTGTTTGCTGCAGTGGAAAGCTAATCCCTAGCCATCTGGCAGCATAATTGGATTATCACCAAACTCCAGCAACCTCCATGAGGAAACATTGCAGCCATTTTTGCATTTAAGTTCTTTGACTTCAACTTTAATATACCATTTATGGCTAAAACTGGTCTAGGTCAAGAGTAAATTTTAATCTGTACCCAACTAGTGTATGTTATAGATGATGATGGCTCTTCAGTAATAATTCTGCATTTCATGTAGTAATCTATATTTGCAAGTAGACAAAATAACTTTCGAATGCATGGAATTGGGGAAAATAAGAGGCAAAAAATCTAATTTAACATGCCTAAAGTAACTCTTCTGATTTACTGGCAAAGATCAGGAGCCAAAAGGAGGTCATTATCTTCCAGACAGAATTTACCTGTTGTCATCTACATTTTCTGCTTGGATTTCATTTGGGACTGGTCAATGTGTGAAGGCAGGAGGAGAAGGGGACGACAGAGGATGAGATGGTTGTACAGTGTCATCGAAGCTACCAACATAAATTTGACCCAACTCCGGGAAGCAGTGGAAGACAGGAGGGCCTGGGGGGCTCTGGTCCATGGGGTCACAAAGAGTCGGACACGACAAAATGACTAAACAAACAAAAAATGTGGAGGATAATGACTATGTGGCAGTGCTCATGATGAAAATCTGCTGCCACACAAAATTTTCTCATTCTTGTTAGAGAACTGATAAGTCATTGGTGAGCCAGTATGGTGTAGTGGTTCGTATGTCAGATGATGACTTGGGAGACGTGCCTTTACCTCCCTGTTCAGCTGCTGCAGGATGGCAATAGTAAAACACTCCTTGACCCCCTTACACACCTTGAAACTCTTATTTGGCTCACCATATGTCAGAAACAACTGAAGGACATATAACAACAGTAAGTCACGGGTAAAACGTTCAGATTATTTTGTTGTCCTGATGAGCTTTGGAGTGTTTCCTTCCATGTAAATTTTACATGTGCTTGCATTTTGAAATATTGTATCAAAATTTATGAGTTGTCAAAAGGTCCATCAAGCCTGTATTATGTTAAATTATTAAATATTAAATAAGACTCCTGGCCACTTAAAATGTAGATCGTGAGAAGGATTGTGACTGATGTTTAGTGTAGGTAGACAGAGTTGTATTAAAGAAGAGAAAATATTCCAGGGCATTGGGCATTGATAAATTGAAAACCTCATTGTATCTGTGTTGAATTATTAGAATTAAGAACCATAAATCTTTATTTTCACTAAGAATTAGATCATACAGTTCACTTGCTAGTTGCTTTATTTACATTATAGATGTATTGTTTATCTTCTTTAAAGATGATTAATTTTTCTTGTAATTGTTCTTCAAATGATCTATAGATGCAACATGGGAAATACTTCTAATTTCATTTCTAGTCAGTCTAAATATCCATTAACCTCGTGACAGAAGGTTTAGAAAGCACATGTTTGTAGCAGCTATATTAACATAGACACTAATTGCTATCCCTAAGGGATTAAAGCGTAAAGCATTACTGCTGCTCTGCTTGGTCTCTCACATTTGTGATAGGAAACAGAACACCATGCTCACTTAAACAGCTTTGATAAATCTTACTCATGGGCTTTGTATTATTCCACTATTGTGACCCTCGTAATCATTCACAAGAGTTTAACTAAATAGTGGGGGAAAGGCATCACATGGAAAAGCCCACAGAATTTGTATCTATAGATATTCCATTCCTGACTGTCTTGAACAGGTTTCAATTCAGTTCAGTGTCTTGAACATGTTTCAGTGATTTTCTTTTTCCAAATAGTAGTTAAGATATTTAACTTGATAATTGGGTTGTATAAGCAAGAAGTTTAGATCTAATCTGCAGACCTTCACTCTGTCTAGTTGTGATCTGCACAGACTTAAACCTTGTGAATACTAACCAGCTTTTAACCATAATTTCAGATTCTATGTACAAGCACATGCTGGTAACTTGAAACTCTGGTTAACGATAAGGTAGATGGATCAAATTAAAATGTGCACGAGGGAAAGACAGTAGTGAGAAATAGAATACAATTTCAGGACCCACACTCGAACCTTGAGTTTAAAAAGTGGGTGTTGTATCTATACTATCATATTCATTTATTTTAACTGAAAAATATTATAATTAAATACTTTTTGAGTGTATTGTCATATAAGGATAAAAAAGTGCATATCTCAGATTTAAGTAAAACATGTTATTCTGATACAAGAGGAAAATGGTTGATTTGCAACAGTTCACACCATTTCTAGTGCATTCATATTTTCAGATTCTTCCCCCACCCTGACATTTCATTTTTGTGGTTGCTTTCAATAGGTGAACCTGAGAAAGAACTTAATCCCAAGAAGAAAATGTGGGAACAGATTCAACCTGATCTTTATACCAATGACCAGTGTATTGCCACGTACAAAGGAGTGCCATTTGAAGTGAAAGGCAAAGGTGTTTGCAGGGCTCCTACCATGGCCAACAGTGGAATCAAATAAATATAATCAGTTGTGGAAATGTTTGAGAATTGTTTTGAATGAAAAGCAATGTCAACATAATTAAAGAAATGCCTCACCTCAAACCACAAGTTGTTCCTTTTTGTTACATTGTTACCAAAACTGTAGCTACTGGTGGCTACTGATGTTGTTTCTTTCTTGCTGTTTCCTCTTTTCTTGAATAAGAATACAAACATTAATTAGATGTAGTGCAAATCTTGCTTTCCATCTGAACTGGAGGGCAGTGCACTGGCTGGTAGGCAGTGTGAAGAATTGATGCAAAATACATAGCTATCATCTTTGCCCACCTGGTATATTATCTGTGGCCTTGTTGAATAATTGGGCAATGATCAGCCTTTCCTTTTGAGCATATGTTTATGAGTACTTTATACAGTCTTACGGTGTTTTATGTCAAAAATAAGGCTCTTTTAATTTCAAGGCGACCAATCATATACCTGTTGTATAGATTTCTAATACATTTTTGGTATATTAAGTCCTATTGAAATAGTACAGTTAAGGTGGCTGTAAGTCATTTTTAAAGTGAAATTATTCACTGTAGTACACCTTTTTCTAAAGGTTTCTAAATCAGTTTCTAAACTAATTGAACAGTATAAAGGCATAAAAAAAGAAGAGGAGCAGATGTGTTCCAGAGTGAAGGTGCTTCAGGAAAACAGCCTTCAGGAGCACTACCCGTTTAGTGTCTTGGACTCTGAAAGGTGAAATGGCTGTAAGTCTCTTGAGGCCTTCTCTGTGTAAGTGAAGACCAGCCATAAATGGTATGACACATTACCTTTCATCAGTTGCAGAATCTGTTACAAAACTCTCCATAACTTTCAGTTTGAGAACTTGGTTAACATGGAGGGTAGAGTAACAGCAGTACATGTAAGTTTATTGACTTGTATCCAGTGGTGTCATTGCACTAGCACAAAGTCAGTTGGGTTAGATATAAATTTGTATCACTTGCAGAGGGACAGAATCAGTGCATTTTGTTCTTGCACACTGCTGCACAGTTTTTTTGTGTGTGCACTGTTTCTGAGTGGAGTTTTTTGTTCCATGAGCATTAAGTTGGTTCTAGGCCATTGCAGGGAGGTAAACATTTCCAGTTCTATCATATGGTTGCAAAATAGGTTTTCATGAATTTTTATTTTAAAAGTTTAATGAAATTTTCTGCCATACTTAACATAATAATTTGACTTTTATATAACACACTGTGTGCTGTAAAATATCTGGCATAATGTTTCCAAATCTGTTTATCTCTTAAATGTAAATATGGCTTTCTAAATGATGTAGTTTATAGCTCTAAATAGAAATGCACAAAGATGCCAATTTATAGAAATGATCCATAAAAGGCATTTAGAATAGTTTTTAAATGCTTAACTGTCCAGTGCCATGCCAAGAAGTATTTTAAAAATTGCCTCGGGTGTTGATTCCTAGAGGTATTAAAGATAACAGATCCATTTTCTTCAAGAATAGTCTAAGTGCAATTATGGAAAAGAGACGGGGCCTGCATTCCTATGGCCACATAAGCTAAAATCAGATAATGAGAGATGTTCCACCTTGCCAATATTGCGAGAACACAGATGTGAAAAGGGTGGAATTTTGCCTTCCCCCCAAATACTGCTGTTTCCATATTGTTAAACATTATGGGCTGTGGTCTGGGACTGGTAATGGAATGAGAGTGCAAATGCTGTAACTTAAAATCGAGTTCTTCTATATGACTTTGCTGGATCTTTATTAGTAGCCTTTCCCATATAGAAGAACAGTACCTTTGGGGAATCCCCAGCTGGTGAGGGAGGTAAAATATATGTGGGATTCCCCCCCCCAAGTAGTTGTAAAGTTGAATATAAATTCATATTTGATACTAGACAGATGGTATGGAAATAAATCCAATTTATTTCAACACAGACTAATCTATCACAGCCACTGGGCAAACTCTAATGTTGATTAGATTTTCCTGCGCATGAATAATTATTTAAGCATGAAACAGTTCCAAATATGCTAACATAGTTATTGGGTTCTCTGCATTGCACCTTCTTTCTCTGAAGTCTTCCTGAGTTCAAAGGTTTCGGTGGATTGAACAATGTGTTACTGATGTACCATTATTGACTATATTTCTATTAAATAGTGAGGGCTCGGCATGAACACCAATGGTATGTAGTGAGAGCTGAGAAAACTGGATATTTGCAAACAACTTTTAGATGACACTATAACTAATTGATTTAATGTGTCTCTTTACTTGTGTTGTATAATTGATGCAGTCTTTTAAAAATGAAGGTGTTAGTTTGCTATTTATAATTGAAGTATATGGTAGCTATATCTAGACAGTAATCAACAATTCTTGGAAGTAAGTACAATTTATTTTTGTTTCTTAATTTTGGGCGTTTTGAGAACTATTAAAACAGTCTCTCCCCACAGAGCTTTCAGTGTAAGGTAAAAGATCAAAAGGAAGGAAATGTACAGGGGAAAAATGGAATAGGAAGCAAAGAGTAACTTGGCTTAAAAATAGTAATTGTGTGCCATCAACTCAATTCTGATATATGATTACCCTTTTCAGGGTTTTCCAGGTAGAGAATACTGAGAAGTGAGTTACCATTCCCTTCTGGGAGCATCCTGGGACTGTGCAGCTTGCCCAAGGCCACACAGGCTGGCTCTTCTCTTTGAAGGTACAATGGGGAATTGAAATTCCAACCTCTGGCTCCACAGCCAGATACCTAACTTAGTTCTATACTATTGTTTACTTTGGTAGAAGGGTCTGATAATTGTTTTGCTTTATAAACTCCACAATTTTTCTTAACAATTTTAAGTTTTCTTCTTTGGGCACTCTTGCATGATTGTCTACAAAAATATATTTTTGCTGCACTGAGTGCAAAACTTTATGTAGTGTGTCTGATGCAGTATGCAGGTATAGTTCTGTACTAAACCTAGCCTTTTCAACCTGATCTGCATGTGTGAATAAGATGACAGTGTAACTCTTCCAGTTAGGACCCAGGAGTGTCTGCAAAAAAGAAGGAAAAGGAATCGGTCATATTTTTCAGCGAAAGAGCAAAACACAGTCTGGATCTTCAACAAGACTCCTGTCCCCTCCCTAGTTCATACCATGCTGCTTCAAAAGGTCCCTCAACGCTCAAGAATAGTACTGTTATGTATAGCAATATTTCAGAAGACATGCCAGAACGGCCCTGTTGTGTGATCCAGCCCATGTGGATCAAACCCATTTTGTCCATTAAAGTGATGAGTTTATGCTGGGTTATCTCTAGTTTGGGAGTAACTTCAATGTTCATTAGAAAAGAAACTATCAATGCTATCCTGAAATATTGGGGGGGGAGGCAAAGTAAAAGGACATATAAATAGTACATGTTCGAAGGTTACGGTGGCCATTGCTGTTCCTTATATAAGAATGAGAAGTGGCAACAAGAAATAATGGACATGTTATCTTGTGGTTAAAATTAAAAATTGCATTACAGTACACAGTAATTGCCATAGCTTTAGTACCATATCACATATTAGCATTTTAGGTCCTCCAAGTTACTTCCACTATTAAAGTCATAAAATCAGAAGGATTAGAACTTGTTCCTACTTGTGACCAAAATTTATAGGATTACATTAGGTTCTTAGTCTATCCCTTTTGTCACCATGACTTATGAATAAATGTTTCCCTTTTGTTTATTGTAAGATTGTAAGGAAGGATCCATGATAATTATCCTGTTGGAAAACCTGTAGGTGAGAAAGAGGGAAAAGAACACTAATAAAGCACATCTCTTTAAGAATTCCAGACCCTAAATTAATGACACTCCTTCGCACTATAAGCATGTTCTAAAGTGGTGCCCTCTTGTGATCACAGGGAATACCAAATCACAGGTATGAAGCTGATGGGCAATAATTTCATTTTCTATAAATATATGGATACCACCTCCTTAGTAAACATGATTTGGATACATCCTAGACCAAGTCTATAATAAATCTTAGTATCATTTGCTTTCCTAATATTTCCTAATTAATTGATATTTTCTTGTGGTTTTAATCCAGAGGAGTGAAAGACTTACCTATTTAAAAATTAATAAATTGGTCTGATATAGTCATATAGATAATTCCTGCGGTATGATTCGCACCTGTGATGTTTTTTTGTGTGCAATTTTACATTTACACTTCAGCGGTGGTACCCGATCCTTGCAAGTACAAGAGGTACCAGGAGAGTTGGGCTGTGGTGTTTGGTGATCTTTGTGATTCTTGGGCTCTTGTTGGATATAAAGATTTACTATGGAGGTGACTGAAAAGGAGATGGTATTCCAATTAAAGCCCATTTGCGGAATAATTTGGAGTGCAAATTAATTAGGAAGCATTTGAAGAAGTACGTAAGACTGAAGATGCTAAGAGTGGGATAGTGTACCTTTTAAATACAAAGAATATGATCTGGAACTATATACAAGTCTTGAGCTTGTTGAAGAAAAGGAGCAAATAAAGAGACATAAACATGGCTAATTGCTAGATGCAAGCTGCTAACCTGGACAAATTCAACAGTAGGCTCTTCTTCCCCTCTGCATAGTGGGATGTCAGCTCTCAGGACCAAAAGTGCCAGATGCAGACCTTTCTCTCCAAAGTGCTGAATTAAAGCTCTTTTCACTTCTTCCTGCACCTGCTCTTTGCTCAGGCTACTGTGAGGATACCCAGGAGTGTCCAGCACTTGGACCTGTAGGGTTAGCTCAGAGCCCTGCCGACGTGCAAAGCCTGAAATGTGGCAACTGCGCCCTAAACAGCAAGCTGCGGTCACAGAGCATGGGGAAAGATGACTGGCAAAGTCCATACTGCCTAAAAGGGTATTTCCTGCAGAACTCTTGCCACTCTGTGTCTGTCCAAGCAAGAGAAGGTTTATGGTCATCTTGTTATTGTTAGACATCATGCCTTGTTCTCACAGTCCCTTGGAAAAAAGGAAATAATAAAATTAATTAAATGCTAAGACATGACAATACTGTGCTTCAATAATAACATGGGCTATGCCTAGTTCCATAAAACAGTATGACGTACATTACTTGTAAAGAAAATGTGAAATACTTATAAACTTTGCAGCTGTTGTTTACTGAGTGCCTAAAGTCTGGATCTGAATCCATGCCTTCAACTGTTAGTGCTAAATTACCATTGTTGCCTTTATGCCCACTCTTTATCTTTAAAATCCATATGGTGTGCGTGTCCAATATATCTCTTATTACAGTACAGATCTGCTGGTACATTAAAGGTTAGAACAATGATTCTCAATCTCTGTCTCTACAGATGTTTTGGACTTCAACGTACTGTATAGAGTCCCTGACTATTGGCTATGCCAATTGGGTCTTCTTTAGTTGTAGTTTCCATTAGTTTAAATTATTTTCTTCTGAAATGAAGCAGGCTTATAAATTACAAATAATCATGTTTGCTGATGCATTGAGCAAACACTAAACACTTGGTATGGTAACAAGGGAGATTGACTTTTTGTGGTGACAGCACTATTATTATAAATCTGAAGAAATTCAAATTTTTAAGATGTCAGATGATCCAATAGGGAAGTATAAAGAATGCAGAGGTTATTATATAGAGTGCATATTTATGAGGGGTTGCACTGTGAGTGCTCTGTTCAGTATCAGCTATTCAAAGTGTGCTATGTTTCATTCAGAACTTCTCACTGTTCTTCAAATTGCTTGTTTCAGTCCTGCAAAAAATGTTCCGCTGAAAAGTCAGGTAGATACTGCATTATTAATATCTTGTTAAGATCTATCAGCACTGCAATTTCATCCATTTTATTTGGACTCACAGTGATTTTTTTTCCTCCTGAATTCTGAAAAAGTAAAGTTCAGGGAATCAGAACATTCACTTTCTTAACAGGTGGATAGGTTTACTTTTGAGGCTTCAACTCAAAGAACATTATAGCCAACAAAGTGCTTAGCCCATGCTGCCTAGGGAATTGTCAGTGTGTAGGGACGTGTAGTTGTGGTCGACACAGTGAAATATCAACAACTTCCAATATGCAGATGATACTGTGATGGCAGGAAGTGAGGAGGAATTAAAGAACCTCTTAATGAGGGTGAAAGAGGAGAGCACAAAAATGGTTTGAAGTGCAACATCAAAAAAACAAAAAACAAAACTAAGATCATGTCCACTGGTCCCATCACCTCCTGGCAAATAGAAGGGGAAGATATGGAGGCAGTGACAAATTTTACTTTATTGGGCTCCATGATCACTGCAGATGGTGACAGCAGCCATGAAATTAAAAGACGCCTGCTTCTTGGGAGGAAAGCAATGACAAACCTTGACAGCGTCTTAAAAAGCAGAGACATCACCTTGCCAACAAAAGTCCGCATACTTAAAGCTATGGTTTTTCCTGTAGTGATGTATGGAAGTGAGAGCTGGACCATAAAGAAAGCTGACCGCCGAAGAATTGATGCTTTTGAATTGTGGTGCTGGAGGAGACTCTTGAGAGTTCTCTGGACTGCAAGGAAATCATTTTGAAAGAAATCAACCCTGAGTGCTCACTGGAAGGACAGATCCTGAAGCTGAGGCACCAATACTTTGGCCATCTCATGAGAAGACTCCCTGGAAAAGACCATGATGTTGGGGAAGTGTGAAGGCAAGAGGAGAAGGGGACAACAGATGACGAGATGGTTGGACAGTGTCACTGAAGCTACCAACATGAATTTGACTCAACTCCAGGAGGCAGTGGAAGACAGGAGGGCCTGGCATGCTCTGGTCAATGGGGTCACAAAGAGTCAGACACAACTAAACAACAAGGGATGTGTAGTCCAAAAGATACCTTGTACGTTCTGTAGTCATGATGTGACGGCAATAGCTCTTTCTTGTCGTTTTTCCCTAACCATTTATATTCAGAACGTCTATCATTATAAAGCCATGATATTAGTGGGGTGATGGGGGAGATGTTCTGCAAATAAACCAGTCAAAGAGTTTTACTGGTCTCCATATTCATCACAGTACTTTAAAGGAGCATATATTTTGAAGGAAAAATATACCACCAACTCTCTGTGACCCTATAACTGCTGTTGATTGCATTCTGTGGCTACCAAGTGCTATATATTATGGTTTACGTTTATCAATAAATACTTCTATCATGATTAAAAACTCTCAAAATATACTTAGAACCCGAGATGGCATACCAAAATTTGCTTACCTTATTGTACCCTAAAAATTTTCCACCATTCAGTTAACATTATCGCCCACGTTAAGAACCGCTGCTTTAAAGGAGCATTTATTTTGAAGGAAAAATATACCACCAACTCTCTGTGACCCTATAACTGCTGTTGATTGCATTCTGTGGCTACCAAGTGCTATATATTATGGTTTACGTTTATCAATAAATACTTCTATCATGATTAAAAACTCTCAAAATATACTTAGAACCCGAGATGGCATACCAAAATTTGCTTACCTTATTGTACCCTAAAAATTTTCCACCATTCAGTTAATCTTTTAAAGCCTTGTCTGCCGTGATTCTAGCTTATACTAGTCAGAAGTGCATATTGATGAAGTACCACCTTGAGACTGGCACAGACAGTTCACAAAAGTTAATCAGTTACAAAGTCCTCATTTGTGACTGATAAGGACACCAAATAATCTGCCTTAACTTCCGTCTCATTATGGAGTAGGATTGCAGTGTTCAGTTTGCTTTTCCTGAAAATGTAAATGGACACATTGTCCTGTTGTTTGGAAGAGGATTTCCCCCCCTTTGAGACTGGATTGGTGTTCTTTTTTTTATTTCTACTTTCTCCCCTGCCCTTTTCCTACCATAGGGATGAAGAACGTGTGGCCTTCCAGAGGTTGTTGGACTGTACCTCTCATTAGCCCTAGCTAACATAGCCAGTGGTGAGAAACTGTGATGGTCACCATCCACTCTGAAGAGCCACCCTTTCCCCCCATCTGTTGTATCATTAGACTTGGGTAGTTAATATCCTGAATCAGCTTTATTTAAAAAAGTCAGCTGCCAAGGTTTTCATGCTCCTTTTTTAGTGTTCTTGTCTTAGTAAGAAACAGAATCTGGCATAGCCCAAATTTGATGGTTGTGATTATCAGGGCAGGGAAAGGTCCCCAGCTGTGTTCATCTTATGTGGAAGAAGAGAACTGAATGACTGCCATGACTTTCTAGACACAAAAGCAAAATTCTGTGCTTGAGATGAATGTTGCAGTAATGGCATTCTTGGCAGTGGGTGACTTATCCCTACTCCCAGGAATTCTACAAATATTCCACCTTTCCACAGCAGTTTTTGTAGCATTGGAGTCCTCCATCCAAACAGTCCATCCGTCAGGATGGGCACTTGCTAGTGAATTTTTTTAAAAAATTGCATAGCTAATTACCATACCAGTGAATATTAATGTCTGCATTTTTGTGCACTCGAAACCTCTGCAGACTGGGCTGCTCTCCAAGCCATTTGGACAGGTGCATGACATAAAGGTGGTTTTATATATGAGTCTTGGTCCAATAAAACTATGCTTGTATTTGGGTATCCATTTCTCTTGTGGAAGGCAACATAGACACTTGAGCGATTCATTTTGCTGGCTTGTGATGTCAAGTGATGTTAAGTTAAAGCAGGCATTGCAATATTACACAATAAGCTGCACTTCTCTGACTCAGAACACTGGCAGTTCTCCACAATGAGGATCATAACGTGAATAATGCTGGGAGACATCTGGAAGATCTTATGACTGCATGAGTAGAAGGATTTAAGAAACCTTTCTTCCTGTGGGGATATGACAGGCAAAACATGAAATTGATTTATGTAACAATGCTCAGGACTCCTTTAGCTTCAGGGAAAGGAGTCTTCCCCAAAGTGGCAGCATATGCCTATTTCACAGATAGGATGCACCTAGCTGGGAATTTCCACCTCCATTTATAGTAACCTATGAACTATTGAGAGTTAATGAACACGCTGTCTCTCTCTTTCCCAAACATTTTGGGGAGAAAGCCCATTTAAGAAAGTTAAGAGCCAAATGTTGGCAAGGCTGTTTCATTTAACAAGCAATCCCTCTATATGCTTTAAATGACAATTTGGAATGATTTAAGTAAAAACAGAAGTATAGTAGATTCTCCTTCTTTATTCATGGTAGGAAATACCAGTAGGCTTCATAACCTGTTCCAGTGAACTGAGCACTGTTTTTTCTGCCTTGACATTCTTGATACTTATGAAGTGAAATCACCTTGTTGTCGACTCATATGTGAACTAGAAAGAAGACACACATGCACGCGCATATACTTGGATGGCTTAATATTAAATAGTTAAAAGTCAATTTTTCATACAATGCATTTTGAGCCCCTCAAGCCTTTAAGTGGCATAAATCATTCATTCTTGTCAATATAGCAATGCATAGTTCAGATCTGGAAAGTATTTTTGTATGAAGTTAACTTTATATTCTGATTATTGTATTTACTACTTTATTGGAAAAGGTAGCGATCAAAAGATGATTGGCATATGTCCCAGTTGGGATACCGCTTCTTGACAACCCACTTTGCCACCTGCATCTGCACTTTCTGATTCTTGGCACTAATTTAGTAATATCATAACCAAGCAATGTCAACTGATGTAACACTACAGTATTTGTGTGTGCTTCTCAGTTTTTCCTAACATCATGGGAAACAGTATTGTGTATTGGAAACAGAACATAGAGTGTACACTCACTAATTTTAAAACTAAAGTTCTACTCCTACAGAAAAGGAAATACATATGATTTTAAGCTTGCTTACATGAATGAAACTGAAATATAATACACTAAACATATTGGCCTGAATACAAAAGCAAACAAACAAAAGCCAAAATAAGGAATTAAGTGGCTCCGAGTGAATAATCAAGGAAGCAAAATGGATACATGAAGCAATGGCCTTGAACGCTACAAACGTCTGATTTCAAATCTCTCCCTGGAAAG